GTTGTCTATTCGGGCCCTTTTGTAACAGGAACTCGGCCTGTGTATTTGCTTTGCTCGGTGGCCAGCTTGCTGTGGAGCTGGCTCGGTTTTCAAAATTATGGTCCTTTTGGGGAAAGAGCATGGACTGATGGGCGGGGCCGGAGAGAGGCTGCACTCACTCCTTACCCCAATGGCTTCCGTCTCCTTCCCGCTGCAAGGGGCGCGCGTTCCCAGGTCGTTTTGGCGATAAAGCGGTTCGTTTAGAGTAGGCCGCTCCTACGAACATCGTCCCATTTAGGGGACAAGACGGCCTTTGGGGGTAAGATCCTCCGACTTTCAGTAGCTGGAGAGAGGGCACGTCTCTCCAGAATCCTCTTGCTTTCCTAGTTTAATTTGATGAAGTGATGCCCAGTGACATATGCTGGCTTGCTTCTCCAGAGAGGACAGCTCATACCCCAAAGGGCCGCACAGCCCTGCCCACTCGGTGAGCATGTCTGACTATACGGAGTCCCCAGGGCCAGCTCGCAGGTGAGGGATTTGGTGTGGGCGCTGCGTGGGGTCATTTTAACCTTCTGGACCAGCGGTTCTCAACCTGTGGGTCGCGACCCCTTTGGCGGTCGAACGACCCTTGCACAGGGGCCGCCTAAGACCATCCTGCAGATCAGATATTTACATGACGACTCATAACAGTAGCAACATGACAGTTATGAAGTAGCAACGAAAATAACTTTATGGTTGGGCCACGCCATGGGGAACTGTATTTAAAGGGTCAGAAGATTGAGAGCCACTGCAGTCTGGAGTGAGCTGCAGTATTGTCATAGCTGTGAGCGGCTGCAGTTACAAGAACCCCAAACGCCGAGATGCGGGTGCAAGTCCCTGCTGCGCTCGGGCCTCTCGTGTTTCTCTGGGGAAGGGAGCCCGCAGCCACGTTCACTCTGGTCCCCACAGGAGGGCGGCCCGCCTCCAGCCTAAAGAAACCTCCTTGACAGGACTTTCCCGTTCACTCTGCTCCGAATAATGGGCTTTTCACACTCCCTTGTTTTTTTTTAAATATTCAGTTTTCAAAGGAAGGATTTTTTTTTCAGTTCAAAGTGCCTATTTCAAGACGTTTATGGCTCTCTTGGTCCAGCATTTACCAGCAAGATTTTTAAAAGCATCTCTAGCCGGTTTGGCTCATTGCATAGAGCGTCGGCCTACGGACTGAACGGTCCCAGGTTCGATCCCGGTCAAGGGCACAGGCCCAGGTTGTGGGCTCGATCCCCAGTGTGGGGAGTGCAGGAGGCAGCCGATCAGTGATTCCCTCTCATCAGTGAAGTTTCTCTCCCTCCCTCTCTGAAATCAACAAAAAAATATATTTTTAAAAAGAATTTTAAACGCAGCCCCCGCGGGTCAGTGCAGGAGCTGACAAGGTTATCTGGAGCCAACCTCGTTGGTGCATGTCGCCGAGACGGATCCCCCAAATCTTGGCTTTCGCTGAGCTCTGGGGCTTGGGGAGGCTGTCTGGCCATGCCCCTGTCTCCAGGCCCATGGGACTGGGAGGTGGGCGAGACGGGGTGGAACGGTGGGGCAAGCAGCTACAGCCCCCAGCCCCGCCCGGCCACCCCAGCTCCTTCAGCTCTGACGTGGGCTACGGGGTGGAGGGATGACCGTGGAGCCTCCTCGTACCACTAACCCACCCTGGGCAGCAGGCCTCCAGGTCACCATGAACTGGCCCCGGCCCCTCGGACCGGCCCAGTGGCCCGATCCCGGCCAGGCCGCCTTCTGCTGCTCCGGCTCTGAGCTCAGAACGGCACGTGGGAAGCTCAGAGCCTCAGAAGAGCTTCCGGAACCAGCGCCTCCCTGTCGTCCCTCCTCACAGGCCCGTCCAGCTCCCCCTCGCGTCCTCGGCTCATCGCCCCGTCGCTGCAGTCGGCCTGGGCTGGTTGGGTGGTCACCTTCCAGGGATGTGACTGTTTCTCAGGGGATGCTGTTGGCGTTGGGGGTGGGCAGCCCTCTGCCCTGGGCACGGCAGGCCCCCTGGCAGTCCTGGCCCGGGCCACCAGTGCCAGCCATCAGCTGCTGTCAGATGATCCCCAGGGGTCCATGCTCAACCTGGGATTGCGAGGGTGCGGTGCCACCTGCAACCTGGTGGGGCAGCGCCAGCTTCACCCCCGGGAGGGCAGTGCCACCTTCATGGGGGTGGGGGGGAGTTGCAGTAACCCCCGCACCTGGGAACACTGAGCCCCAAGGTTCTTAGCTGTACACTCTGCAGGCAGGGACTCCTTTTCCGTCATGAGCCGCAGCACCCAGCAGTTAGCGCCAGGCTGGCGGGAGGACATCGGTAAATACTTGTCGAATGAGTGAATGAGACCCAGGAACAAGCTTGAAGGGGCCCGTGAACCCTACAAAACTGTGTGCACGTGTGTGTATGTTGGGTGTGCTGTACACATGTGTGTATGTTGGGTGTGGTGTGCACGTGTGTATATGTTGTGTGCGGTGTGCACATGTGTGTATGTTGTGTGCGGTGTGCATGTGTGTGTGTGGTGTGCGGTGTGCACGTGTGTGTATGTTGGGTGCGGTGTGCACGTGTGTGTATGTTGGGTGCGGTGTGCACGTGTGTTTTCTGGGGCGAGAGTCCAGCGCCCATTACGTTCTCCAGGGGAAACTGACGGACAGGACACTCGGACACGGGTCCAACCAGGGCCCGGTCCAAGCCATGGTGTCCCGGCACGGCGCCTGCCAGGTGGGTGTAGGCCCACAGCCTGACCCATGTGCCAGTGCCCGCGTGGGGGGGGGGCACGTCCTGAAAACCCCGGGAGCTCACACCAGTCCCGCCCAGGGCTGCCTCCTGCCTTTAACCAGAAACGGCCCTGGGCCTGGGCCGCGGAGTCACTAGCAGGAAAGTGTGGCGAGAGCAAAG